GCATATGCAGCCTGCTCCATGCAATCCACTTGCAAAACATGTCAAAGAACACCAACTGAATAGACCGGGAAGCACAAAACCAAGCAAACAATGTTCTCAGAAGTGCCTTTGAAAGTGGGCAACGAAACCCTTCTGCAGCTCCGAAAGGCGCTGCAGGTGGGTTTGCATCTCGGCGAGTTTGGCCTCCTGTGAGACGGGGCAGGGTCGAGAGTTCTGGTTTCGTGTTGAGTGTCTTATTTATACTTAAACTTAAACTTATATATATATATATTTTTTAAAAAATATATAGTTACAGTAATAGTTCCCGAAAGCACTGCGAAGGGTTCTTCCGGAAAATCCCTTGAACACTGACACTTCGACACTTACACTTACACACTGACACACTGACACTTCCACACTGGCACTTGAACACTGACATTTCTACACTTACACTTGAGCACTTACGCTTCCACACTGACACTTGAATACATACACGTCTATACGTATCCCAGTGTAAGGGTATGCAATCCCAGTGCAAGTATGCAAGTATAAGTATGGAAAACTTGCACGGGAGATGTCCTAATGAAAAACTTTTCCCCACTTTATAAATTCTCTCTTAAAGGCGGAGGGTGGGACGAACAGCATCAACCGAAAATGCAACCCTCTGCGGAGATCGTGCGTGTCGAGTGCGCGAAATGCAGGCGAGAGTGCGATTGGGTCAGTGCGCGCGCAACCCTCTGCGGAGATCGTGCGCGTCGAGTGCGCGAAATGCAGGCGAGAGTGCGATTTGACCTGTTCCCGCGTAACCCTCTACGGAGATCGTGCGTGTCGTGTGCGCGAAATGCAGGCGAGAGTGCGATTTGGCCTATGCCCGCGCAACCCTCTGCGGAGATCATGCGTGTCGAGCGCGCGAAACATAGACACACTCTGACAATTGTATTCAGTTAACTCAATCCCCCGAGGAAATGAATGGCTCAACGGCAAGGTGATGAGTCCGATCAATTGGAGGTGTTTCAACACAAGGTTTGTGCACATCTGCAGACTCGCGACAGCAGCGGACGAGCGGCGGACGGCAGCTGAAAGGCGGCTGTGGGAAAACTTGTTTATGGGGTAAGAAACGTGAAAGAACCATGAATCAAACCGTGGAAAAGTAGAGTGGACAGCTTGTGGAAAACTCAGCAGGTACATGGTTGAGCATCCTCAACCACTTCCCTTCCAGTGACCCAGCTTCGTTGGATCAGGTTAGTCACTGGAAGCCTGATTTTTATTTGCTGTGGAAGTGAACGGTGGTAAAGGTGACCAGTGGCTTAGTGGGACGAAACCCTTTGTCCAGGGGTGGACACACACAGGTCGCCGGCTTCGGTGCTTTTTTCTCAAAAAACGGTGGAGGGCGTGCTTTGTCAAAACTAATAGCCACCTAAAAAGCCTTAGAAAGACAGACAAAGCAAACAAAACAAAAGCAGACTAAGAGGGCAAGAAAGAAAGATAGGAGTAGTTACGAGGCCCACTTAGTTAAATGAAAATAGAACGCGAGCGGGACATTCGTCTTAAACCGCCCGGGTAGCTAGCAATAGGCTAGGAGAAACAGAAGGAAAGGCACCAACACACAAGTGTGTTGAGTGCGATTTCCTTCTGTTTCCCGAGTAGCGGGTGGGATAGCAACGGAGGCCTGGGGGTAGGGAGGGGAATGCATGATGAATTCGTCCGGCCTGTGAATACTTAGCAGCACATGCATGTGAATACTTAGCCGTCAAGTCAAAAAGGCACAACATGCAGAAAGCCATGTGCAAGACTGATCAGAAAGCCGTGGAAGAGAAAGCTGCCGTGTTTAGGCCCGGCGGCCAATGCATCAGTTGATTCTATGGGGGTGGCGGTGACTTCCGGTGAAGGTCCAGTGGAAGCGGTACGTTGGGGTTGTTGAATTCCGATGCAAAAAGCGGCGCCCCTGTGACGGGGATCACACTCAGGACCCGAGTGGGACGGCTGAGCGAAACACACTCTGACAATTGTATTCAGTTAACTCAATTCCCCGAGGAAATGAATGGCTCAACGGCAAGGTGATGAGTCCGATCAATTGGAGGTGTTTCAACACAAGGTTTGTGCACATCTGCGGACTCGCGACAGCAGCGGACGAGCGGCGGACGGCAGCTGAAAGGCGGCTGTGGGAAAACTTGTTTATGGGGTAAGAAACGTGAAAGAACCATGAATCAAACCGTGGAAAAGTAGAGTGGACAGCTTGTGGAAAACTCAGCAGGTACATGGTTGAGCATCCTCAACCACTTCCCTTCCAGTGACCCAGCTTCGTTGGATCAGGTTAGTCACTGGAAGCCTGATTTTTATTTGCTGTGGAAGTGAACGGTGGTAAAGGTGACCAGTGGATTAGTGGGACGAAACCCTTTGTCCAGGGGTGGACACACACACAGAGACGGACTCGACACACTAGACTGAACATGTCACACTGAACAACATAGACACACACACACAGGAAGGACGGATACACGGACTCGAGACACTAGACTGAACACGTCACACTGAACACTTAACAGATAACTCACACTCTGACTTCCTACGTGATGAAAAATGCTTTCGGGCCACTCAACGTCTAGTACAGTATATATATATATGTGCTAATTACTGGGTTAGAGGCCATCGCTATTAGGTTGGAGGCCATCGCTATATATATATATATGTTTTATTGAAATACACTGTGGAAATTCACACAGCACCATGGCCTCCCGGTAGCGAGTGAGGAGAAATCCGATCGCATCTTCGATTACCATAGCATAGACCCCAATGTCTGCTGCTGTAATCTTATCGATTTCCATTATGCGTGCTATGGCACACTCAATCCCAACTCCAAGCAAGTTGTTGTAGTAAATCCAGTTCATATATAGCTTTGAAGATAGCAAAAATCTTCTCCAAAGGGTGATGTCCAATATCTCAGAGGCTAGGGTCTCCCAACGCCCTGCCACAATGGCAGCTGTTTCTGTGCGACTGATGACCTCAGCGTGTCTCACATCATGCTGCTCGATCTTCCTACGCTTGTCAGCAAGACGTCTCAGCTGCTTGGTGGTCTCTTCGACCACTGTCGTGACGAATGTAACCGCACGGACTCGACCGAAGTCAAGCCCAATGCTCACAGGAAGCAATGTAAGCGTAAGAGTAGGCTGGCTGAAAAGCATCCCAGACATAAGCACTAGGTTGGGCACTGCGTATAGCTTCTCCTCCAAGAAATGGTAGCTAGTGGAAATTAAGCTACTGAAGGATTCTGCATAGCCATCAACTGTGTAATTGGAATCGCGAACAACTTCTAGCCTATTGTGAAAATGCTCGCCTGTATGGAGAAAGGCATCGACACGCAAAGATTCTTCAACCTGGTTGAAACAGTGACGGAAGAACGCGCTATTGGCCGTCTCCATGACACTGCGTTGGAGCATGTAGGGTAATGCAACACTGGTGACGTAGACCACAACTTTCTCCAGCAAAAACTGTCGTGCGGTCAGCTTGCCACTTGCCACCTCAAGCAATGCATTTGACCGTGCTTTGTCCTGGCGCATGTACCAAATGTTGACATAGCCGAGAGATATCTGCACATAGCTGACCACAATAACAAGTTCTGCAGCATACTGGTCAAAGTGCTCTTTGCCAATCACGTCTCGAAGAATGTGAAATGCAGACATCACCTCACTCACAGGGAGCAAAACATCTGCAGCCTCAACAACCAGCTCGCCCAAAGGATACCACCATGTCGTCCAATACATCAAAATAGCCACAGCTTGTGCCCCAACCACGGCTGCCAACGCGAAGAAATCCCATGCAGCAACCCCAAGATATGAGTTGAGATGGACAACGAAAAGAGGCCAAAACTGGCACAAAATAAAGCCACAAGGACCACTTGCGAAACTTGTAGCTGTCCCAGCTCTGGCGGCCTCAATGTTCCATCGAGCTACCAGGCCAACACAACAGGACGCCACAAGTTTCAGCCTTAGAGACTCTTGGGCAGTGCCTGGGCATGGCAAGGCCCACCGAGCATATGCAGCAGACAAAAAGAATATATTCTTGTCGGCCAGCAATTCTGCCACAAGGTATTCACCGAATTTATCCAAAGACTCTTCCAGTGCCGACCAAAGCAACGGATATTGAACCACAAGAATTGCAATGGCAGCAATGACAGGAGAGCCATAGGTCAACAAACGTTGTGCGGATACCATTGACACTGCAACTGGGCCAACACCGGTCAGACCACTCAAAGCTCCCAGTGTTGCCCTCTTGCAATCATCATTTTGCGTCTCATGGTGTGAATACTTGAGCAGCTCAACGTCCCAAAATACACCAAGGCCGTTGTCTTGACTTTATTGATTTTATAGCATGTTATCGTGAAATTATTCTGCTAGCAGCGTGAAAATTGCTCTGAGTGATGTAGCAACTGGAGTGAAATGATCAGGAAAGCATCGAGCTTGAATCTCTAAACACCAACACAGCACCCGAAACTAAGGACATCCAGGTGTCGAGCGCTCACGGCGTTCGGCTTCGCGCTCTTTGCGATCACGCTCCCGCCTCGCTTTGGCATGGCTACTATCATAGGCCGTAGGAAGCTCCAGAGCTGGTCCGAGAGTTTCTGATGTGCACTTCGAAGTGATAAGGAGGCTGCTCTTTGTCCGTACGGTTGGCCTCCAGGAGTTGAAATCTGAGGAAATGCAAACATGAAACATCGTGACATGGCAAATGAACAATCTTGCGTGTATGAAGACCGGTTCCAACTAGGACTACCCCCTGCCTTGGCGGCGAACTGATCTAATTGCAAGTCATCCCGTCTGACCTCTTCCACGGATAAACGGACCTCACTCGCACGGTCCAAAAATGTGAAGACCAATCAACCCGAGTAGCGATGCCATTTGTTTCTAATAGCGTCCTTGCTCCTAGCAGTACGGCCAGGAGCCCCTAGTAGCTTCTTGTTCCTAGTAGTTAGTAAAGCCAGGAGCCACTAGTAGCGACCAATGTTGGCACAAGAATCGCCTAACTTAAAACCTCATGGCCTGACGGAAGTCTGCACTGCAACTCATGGACGCTGTATCTGTGTCGCTGGCGTCAGGGGGCTCCATGCCCTTCGAGCGCGCATAACGCCTGTCCGAGAACAAAACTGGTGTTAACCTCATGTATAGTGTTTGCCGCCTCCGCCATCATCATCATCATCATCATCAAATAGCGTGGGCAGCTGCCGAAATCTTTCCACACCATACCACCCCGTCAAAATCTCAATCATCTCACAGCCAGCAACAGGGTCATCTTGCAGTAGGTGCAACTCCCAGTTGAACCTGTGAACATGCAGAAGAATCAAGTCGAGACACTGGAATACCAGTCAAATCTGTCGTGACTGAATTCCAAATACAAAAGGCTGTACACCGCAAAACAAGGCCCATGAACAAACGCCTCCCCTGAAAGCTGGGCTAGACACGCAGCGTAAAAACTCAAGTGGTCCAGCAAAGCCATTGTGACAAGGGGGAACATGGCAAAAACACGGGGCTGAAAACAATGGGCGGGGAAGAGCCGTTCCCTGGACTTGGCCCAGAGCAGAATTCCAACACCACACACAAAGCTCCCGTGCCCCTTGGCGCCGATCACGGAGTGATACTCAAAAAGAAAGAGGTGAGAGTGGCTACCGCAGGCGACCCCCCTCAGCAAGGTTCAGGGCGAAGGAAAGGAGCACGCATCTGCAAGGCCAGCCCCAGCCCGACGCAGGACCGCCCTCGCATTCTCCCTTTGCAGCGTCAGAGCCAAGGTTTGCTGCAACCTCTCGGTCAAGACGGACGCAGACTCACCCGTTCTGCCGGCCACTGCGTGCGCGAGGCGCTTCCAAGTAGCACACGCGGGTGGAGGTTCTTGAAGGAGTTGGAAATGCGCCCGGAAAGCTTCATGGCCGGGGCCGGAACAAACCGAAGCAAGCTCAGCGGCCGTGAACCTGTCCACTGCCCGTGACAAATCTTGTTGTCGAAGGGTTGGTGGCGGTGGGGAAGGAACATGGTCGCTGGAAAGCAGGGATTCGTTGAGGTTGGAGAGAACTGTGTCCAAGTTGGAGTTGTAGGCAGGGAACAATGAGCAGCAAACGCTGGTCGTCGTGGCCAGGACAGAAGCTGCGTAAGCAGCCCCACTGTGTCGAGAGACGCTGCGTAAGCCCAGCCCACCACACTTTGTAGACAGAGTGGCCTGCAAGCAAGCCGCTCGCGACAAGGCCCCCGTGCAGCAGCATTCCAGGCATTGTAGGACAGAAGAATCATAGGTTTTCAACGCGTCCACATGGAAAGGGGGAGGGGTAACCCGACTTGAATAAACCAAATTTGGACCAGGAAGCACAGTGCCGGAGGAGCAGCAAAGCAGTTTGGCTATCTGGCAGCTGGCTTAAGGCATGGGCTGTGTCCCGCCCGTTGCACTGTGTGCTGGTGGCAAAAAGAGGGGCTCCCAATGGCTGCGCCCAGCAGAACAAATTTGCCAGTGGTGTTGAATGGCAAACCCGTCGGTCAACGCTTGTGTTACCACCATTGAAGGACGTGAGCTCGCACTTTGCAACGTTCAAGTGCAGCCCCACCTGGCGAGCTGTGTTGGCAAGCCGGCCGAGGGCGGCTTTGACGCCCCAGCCGAGCAAACATCATCCAAGTAGGCGAAGCACAGGTCGAGGTGGGAGCGGCCCGCTGCAAGCAATGCAGGTTGCAGAGCCAAAGCAAAAAACAACAGCCCAAGAGGGTCTCCTTGTTGTACCCCGGCTTCTGACGCTATGTGCTCTCCTTGAAACAGAAGCTGGGAACGGTGGCTGTAGCACCATTCGGCCCATGCAGCCGCGGCGGGCACCCGGAGCCGCACTTCACGGAGCAGGGCTGCCCGGTCCACAGTGTTAAAGGCGTTGACAAAATCCAACTTGAGGAAGACCTTGTCAGGATGGCCACGGTTGGTGTGAAACCAATGCCGGGAAGAATGGATGGCTGCTTCTGCCCCTAAAGGCACGGCCACGCCGACTTGCAACGGGGACAGCCAACCCCGAGCCTCAGACTTGACCTGCGCGCACAAGCATTTGGCCACCAAACGCCGCAAAGTCTCACCCACAGCAATCGGCCGCACATCGTTGCCATGTTTGGGCAGCGCGTGTAGAGTGGCCCCTGCAAAGCGCGGGGCCAGTTCAGCAGGGGCCTCGCCAGCCAGCAACTGCACGACTCAGGCGAGGTGGGCTCCAACCTCATCCCCGCGCGCGCTGTCCAAAGCCTCACGCAAATGTTCACCCCGCAAGCCAGTGGGCCCGCCAGCACTCCCCCGCCGGAAGCTGCGGGCGGCCCGGACCACATCGTCAACGGAGAATTCGAGGGTCGCAGCCACCGGGCAAGGGCATCAAGCAGGGTCGGGCGGGCGGAGCCTGTCCGCAAGGCCGCGACAACAGTGCCACCGTAAGCCCACAAACGGAGCACAGGTCGAGGTGGTGTGCTGTGAGGTAAGCAGCAGGGATGTGGCCTTGCAGGGATCCGGAGGCATGGTCATCCAAGTGGGGCCGCATGCTCGCATGGGAGCCCCAGCCTCGCGCAGTAGATGGATCGGAGCATGGGCAAGCAGGCACGGGGCAGAACACTCGTGCGGTGGCCTGTCGTGCTGGCCCGCGGGCTTCCAGCGACGTCCATGCGTCGAGGGCGCTCTCCCCCCAGCGGTGTGCCAGGTTGAGGGGGCCCCGGATGTGTAGCTTCGCCCACCCGTACGCCTAAGTAGCCGCATCTTCGCCATAGGCGTCGGCGCCAGGCCGGGAGGTACCCAGCAGGCTCGCCGCCGTCGCCAATGGACCAGCATCGAAGGCGCAAGGGTAGGCAGTGCAGGAGGGAACAGCTCAGCACGGCAAGCTGCCAGGGCGGCTTGCCTTCAACCCGGTTCCCGGCCGGGAGCCGCATAGGGGCAGGGACCAGGCAACCACGACGAAGCACCAAGCAACGAAAGAGCCAGGGGAGAACGCCGCCATGGCCCCCTGCGGGCAGCAGCTGCGGGATCACTCCCAAGCCGAGGCGGTGCACCAGAGGTCAAACTGACGTGGGACCGACGACACGGCACAGGGAGCGGTCACGCAGCAGCCGCCCACAGAGAGCAGAGCCGGACCCGCTAAGTACAGCGTCTAAGCTGCATCTGGACCCCACAACCACTTTCGGCACATCAATGATATTCCATGTGCCGCGTCGATTAGAATCTAAACGGCACTTGCCATTGGTCAAACTACTCACACCCATCATACACACACCTCCGGCCACCAAGGCTATGGAAATTGACCCTGCAAGCAAAGAGCGCGCGTCATTCCAAAGATTTGTGTTTCCTCGCTAAGTTACAATTATACTGCTCTCCTGCTATTTGAAGAGCAGTGTCATCGTGCTCATACGGTGCGCTGATGATGACTACTAGTATGACTAGGACTAGGATCGGATATACCATGTTGTGTGCTTTGGGGAGGCATGCTCAGCACAAAGGAGCAAATTGACGAGCGACAACACGTCAACCGTAGGATTTGCTACCTGCACAAGTGATCTTTATATGCCAAACTTGCAGCTTGTGAAATGCAAGCCGCAGTAAACCACAAGCAGGTTAGCCTGTAATGCTTGTAGAGGTCTTTCAGCAAACGTGAAACCTGGACAACCAAGCTGACTCTGTACGAAGCAAATGTCAACGTTCTCTGTCCAAGGGCCCAGCGTGATCCACTGCATTGACCTCAGCCAGGGCTCGTCTGGCATGCACCACTTGCAGTCACTTGCCAAGGGATGCAAGAATGGCGACGCTTCAATGACAATCACACCTCGCCAAAAAGCATGATGCTTCCGAGACTGGTGCGTAATCAGAGTAGTCTGTGCAGCTTACGTTGAGTTGCAAGGGCATGTTTGCCTCCGACAAGCGCAACTCCTCTCAACAAACAAAATTAAATGAGACTTGGAAGGTCCATACTAAAGAAGTTGTTCCTTTGCGCAAGCTGCGAGTGCAAAAGAGTTGCTACTCGCGACAAAGGCCTCTGTGCCATCAGACCCTTCGAGGAAGCCACTGCCAATGCCTCGTAATCGAACCTGCAGTTGTATTTGCTACCTTGAACTCAACAGCCACACGTTGAATGAACAAAGTATTTCAATTACTGCTCACTCCCTCACTCTATCTCTATCTCTCTCTCTCCCTCTCCCTCTCTCTCTCTCTCTTGTAAAATTCAGCAGCTGTTTGTTTGTCGTTTGTTTGCGCACGTCTCTGTATTGTTTTCCTCTTGGCAACTGTCCTTAGGCTCAACTAGGCTAGGCTAGGCTCAAGGCCTTTGATCCAAGGTGCATTGTATGGCACCAAGCAATTGTACATGAACACTATGATAGAGCAAGTATGCTATTGTAAAAGAACTTGTATCTTGACACCGTCCCTAGGTTTGATTCATTGTTGAATCACACCATCAATACAAACATTGTTGAAACAGTAAAGGAACATTATTGTACATAAACAGTTCGGGCATTGTAGGCAAGTCTGTACATGTTCTTCTGCCTTGTCTCTCCAGTGTTGTTGTCCTTCTCATCGTTGTGCTCGTATGGCATCGTCACAGCTGGAGATTTGCCTTGCTGATTGTTGAGACATTGTTTCAGCCCTCCATGTCATCCATCTGATTGTCTGGGGCCTCCGAGGATTGTCTGGGACGTTTTGTCCCCTTTTCTTCTTCCTCGTCTTCTGACTTTTCCATATTGTCCTCATTGTATAGGACTGCGCGGTCCTCCCACAAAGAGATTGTCGAGTTTGTGGGAAGTCGACGCTGATTGTGAAAGTCTGGAATCGTCATCTCCATGGCCACTGTTGCCCTTGAAACTGTCCTCGAAATAGTCGATCCCGATTGTCAGCGCTCGTGAGCTGGGAAGCGGCTGCGGTCAAAAAGTTGTCGACAAATTGTCAACCAAGCATGCATTGTCTTTCAAATTCAGAAAGCAAAACTTCAAACACATTGTTCATCGAATTGTCCTACGAGTCGACGACAGAAAAGATCGGATCCATCGTGAGACTGAAATCTTGTAGTACATATTGTCTATGAAATAGTATGCACGTAGTAGCTAAAGTAGTGTGCCATGGCTTGATGCCCCGTTGAAACTGTTTGTACGATCGTTGTTCAATTGTGGTGTTGTGGGCACGCCATGTAGAGGTGTTTGTTAAGCACCTCTGCCGGGACATACTTTGTCAGTATGTCTGCTGGGTTGTCATGTGTGCTGATCTTGTGTATTGACAGTATCCGGCTTTGTACCAGTTGTTGTATGAATAGGTACTTTAGGTCAATGTGCTTTGCTTTCTTTGATGAGCCAATTCTCGTTGCTATGCTCTTGCCGCCTGTCGGTGTGTATGCGAATGTTCACCTTTGTTGTTGTTGCTTCCTTGATGAAGTTGTCCTTCTTGTGCTCCTGTGCCAACTGCATAAAGCTCTGATATCTGCTGATGATAGCTACTACTGCTTGTGTTCTGCTTCCAAATTGTACTACGGATCCCATCATTGTCACGATGAACCCACTTGTTGATTTTCTTGTGCTTGGGCACCCTGCCCAGTCCGCATCGACATAAATGTTGAGGTCGATGGGTTCCTTTGTTTGTGGTGTGTGTGTTGTCCTCAGGATCATTTTGTAGTGTTGTGTTCCCCTGAGGTATCGTAGAAGGTGCTTCACCTTGCGTAGGCCTTGCTGTGTTGGTTGTTGTAGGTCTCGTGCCAGTTCTTTTGTTGCAAAGCTGATGTCTGGTCTTGTGTAGGTCAAGCTTTCCTACTGCTCTCCTGTAATCTGCATGTTCTTGTGCATCTAGAGGTGCATCATCGTTTGTGGATTGTTTCAGGGTTGCCGTCCCTGGAGCTGATGCTGGATTGCTTGCTTCCATCTTTGTTTCCTTCAGTAATGTGGTGATGTATTCTGGTTTGAGGCTCACCTCAAAGAAGTCTCCATTGTTGTGGACGTCTCTGCCAAGGAATTGGATTGTCTGACCAATTCCCAAAGTGCCGGTTGGTCGTAGTAGTACATGCTTTTGTACTTCTTTGAAAGTCTTGTCGACTTCTTGCTGTTGTCCTAAGAATAGTAGATCGTCTACATAGACCATCACAAACATTGTCTGTTCATTGTTCCTGTACACGTTGGGTTCACTTGTCAGTCGAGACAGTCCCATTTGCTGTAGGACTTGCGCAAAGTGATCCTGCCAGGATTTTGGACTTGATCGTAGTCCATAGATTGCTTTGTTGAGCTTCCATGCTGTGGTTGTGTTGTGACCACTTGGGTATAGTTCTGGTGGTGGCCACATGTAAAGATTGTCTGCCGGTGCTGGCGCATGTAGGAATGCTGTTGACACATCACCTGCTTGTATTGTCCAGTGGTTGTGCTGCGCCATTGTCAGTAGGATGCGTAAGATCCCAAAGATTGGCGTGCTCGCATAGATGTTGTCAAGGTCTTGGATTGTTTCCAAGTAGCCTTTTGCTGCTATGCGACATCGCGCTTCCTCTTGTTTGGGTTTGCTGACCCACTTGGATTCTATGACCTTGTACTTGTGTTCTTCTGGGACATCATTGTAGTTCATCTCTGGGAACACTCCTTGTGTCTTCATTGATTGCGCTTCTTTCTTCATTCCTTGTTGTACTTTCAATGGATCAACACCTTCATTGTCGTAGACGAAGGGTTCTTGTAGCATCCTTTCCATGTCTGCTTCTTGTTCATCTTCACAGGATGCTGTGGTGATCTTGTCACCTTTCTTTGTGGTGATTGTCACTGCTTGTGTTCTCATCTTTGCTTTTGGTTGTTCTTCATCTTATCCTCGGTTTGCTGCTGTTGAGGACTGTGCTGTCCTTGATTGTTTGGATTGTGCTTCACCTGTAGGCTCCTCATGTTGTCGCTTGCTTGCTGGTGGCGTTGGCAGTGGTGGTCTTGCCATTGTTGTTGGTGAAGTTGCCAATGGTGATGTTGCCATTGTCACATCCATTGGCTGATGATGCATAGTGGTGTCTCTTGTATTGTCTTTGTGCTTGTGTCTTCCACTGTAATGTCAGCTTGTGTGCCAATTGCTTGTCTGCTTGCGGTGTTGTCAGCTGGTAGAAGCAATTGTGGTGGAATTGCCATTGGTGTTGTTGGCAAGTTCCATGGATACACGTTGACAGTATCCAATAGTTGCTTGTCGTACTTGTCTGGCATGATCTGTCTTCGTATTGTTCTTGCTCTGATGACCTTGCCAGGAATGCCAACTATTGACTCTCCAGTCATTGTGTCTCTGCCAAGCCAGATTCCTTTGAAGAATCTTAGTTCCATCTTGGGTTGTGCTTTTGTTGTTGGTATCATGTCTTGTACTGTTTCTGCCATCTCGCATAGTGGTGCTTTGTGGTCCTTCTGCCATCGTCTTTGATAACTTGTTTGTCCGTCATTGTGCATGGCATACCTGTTCAGTAGCCAGGCTGCATGCCGTACAATCCACGGCATGATCGGATGTTGTACGCTCAATGTAAGGTTGTAGCTTGTGGTCACTTGTTGTACCAGTGCTCGGACTGGTCCCATCGCCATCAAGGTGCGATGGAATCGTTCAATGCTTAATGCTTCCTTGTGATTGTGACGAGTATGCCGGTGATTGTCGGATGTTGACGTTGTTTCCGAGCTTTTGTGCGACGGCCTTCAGTAGGTTCTGTATGTATTCTTCTTGGTCTGATTGTAGTGTTGTGGTAGATAGTGTTGCTTGTGCTCGTCCACATTCAAACATGAATGTGTGTAGACATCGTGTCAGGTATTGTTGTTGTTGGTTCTTGTCTTGTACAAGAACTGCCATTGCCATGCCTGATTCGACATCTATTGCCGTCAGTACTGGTAGTACTTGTTTGTCTCCAAATGCTTTCATGTATGTGAAGTCCACTTGTATCACAGGTTGTTTGCTTGCTTGTTTTGGGTGATTGTCTGTTTGTCCTTTGCTTTTGACACATATTGGACACCATGAGCGGTATGGCAAATGTGTCAGTTCATGTTCTAGTCTTTCTTGTCTTGTTGGTTGTTGCGGCGCCTTCATTCCTTTGGCGCGTTGTGCTTGTTGAGATTCATCTTCATTGTCCGTGTTGTACTCGTACTTGTACTGTGCCTCTTCCTCGAAGTTTGTTGATCCTGTCCATTGTCTGTCAAGCTGTCTTGCTGTCTTGCTCCTGATTCGTGCCAATTGTCATGGATTGTGTATCCTCTTCCTTGTTCCGTTCTGTTCACGAATGTTGTCCGTGTAGGTTTGAGTCGTCCAATGTTTGGACCATCGTCTGTTTGTTGTGGTATGTACATTGTCATCCGTGCTTGTACGTGAACTCGTTTCCAATAATGTCCCTCTCTGATCCAATAGTCTGTTGTTGGTGTCATTGTGGATGGATCAGGTACTGCTGTAGTTGTTGGCGCTGGCTTCTTCGTTGTGTGTCTGTATAGTGGGTCTCTGCTGACCTGTTGCGTTGTCCCGTCTTGCTCCGGGAGTTGTAGTGTCGTCGATTGATGTCGTGCTTGTAGTGCCTGTGATGCTTTCTCTGTCTGCTCGGTTATCTTCGCAGTTGTGGTTGCCGGTTGCGCTGGCGGCTTGTTCACTCTGAACCATGTTTCTCCGGTCCATGTGTCTCCTTGTATCACTCGTCGTTGTTCGTGCTTGCTCAAGTCATGGTATTGTTCAACAATGTCCTCGTAGTTCCCGTCTGCTCGTCGGATGATTGTTCGTCTGTAGTTGCTCAATGTCTCCAGTGGTACTGGGCAATTGTCGCCAGGAACAAAGAGAGCCTTTCTCTTGTTACGGTGATACCATACAAGGTATCCTTCATTGTTGTAGTTCCAACAGTCGCTGTTGCCTCCAAGGACTTGTTGCGGTCCATGTCTTGTCAGTGTTGTTGGGGCAATCATTGCGATCATACCCTTTTGTGTATGTCTCAGCTGTAGTTGTTGATGCTGTCCCAGGTTCATGATTGTTGCTGGCAAGTAGTAGAGGTTGTGCTGCTGCCCCAAGGGAACATTGAATCCATTGTCATGGCGCATTGTTGGAGTGTCGTTGAACCTGATGTCAAAGCCTTGTTCTGCCAGTCTTGTCACTGACAGGATTGGGTCATGGATGTCACACACGTAGAAGGGTATGACAATTGGTTGTCCTCTTGATTGTGTATTGTCTTGTTTGTCACTGTCCTGAGGTTTGGGCTTTGTGCTTGGTCAATCTTGTACACTGGATAGTTGTCTGCAAACCATAGTGGGCAGACATGTGTGGCTGATCCACTGTCGATCATGATGTGCATAGTGTCTGTTGTGCCGCTGCTGGTGGTGTCTGTCTTGTGGTCATTGCCATTGCTGATCATGGCGGTGACATGGATTGGTGTCATATCATGGTTGCTGGTGGGTGCAATTGGCGGAAGTGCCAACGGCTGTTGTCCTTGTTGTTGTCGTGTGTAGTCCTGAAAGCGCCATCCAGGAGTCGTCGTACCATTGTGCTGTCGTGTCCTCAATGTCATTGCTTTCTCCTTGTCCAATGTTGTGTATTGCCACTCGGCAGTCTTTGGCATAGTGTCCTGTTCTTCCACATCTGTAGCATGTATCTGTTGCTTGTTTTCCTTTGTTCTTTCCTTTTCCCTTGTTGTATCCTTTGCTGAATCCTTTGTTGCCTCTTCCGAATGGATTGCCGAAGCCGATCGGACTGTTGTTATAGCTATTGAATCCTTTTCCTCCATACTTTCCTTTTCCTTTGTAGTTGATGTTGTAACTGTTGTATCCGTAGCCGTTGTATCCTCCGTAGCCTTTGCCTTTGTTCTTTCCTTTCCCTTTTCCTTTATAACTGTTGTACTTGCCTTTTCCTTTGTGGATTGCATCGATGTCCATAGGTGCTTGTCCTCCACCGAAGATTGTCGCCACACTGGATGATTGTGATCGTAATTGTTGTAGTTTGCTGAATGCTGTTGTCGACCTGTAGTACTCGATGATTGTTTGTTTGACTCGTGCATAGTTTGGGCTTTGTCCTGAAAGCAGTTGTAGGTGTTGTTGTAGTGGTCCACTTGTCTCGTTGAGCAACACGGCAATCTTCACGGAGTCTGGGAGTGTTTGACCATTGTCTCGCTCGAATCTTTGTAGCTCAAATTCCCATGTGGAAAATGATTCTTCGAAGTTGTTCTTGTCAAATGTTGGTTTCAACAATCTTGTCAAGTGTCCTATGGATCTTGTCCCCGATGGGATGGAGAAGCGGATGCACAGTTGTCGGTACATCTCGAGGCCAATTGTGTGTTGGTATTGCCTGCAGACTGTAGCTGCTGCTCCTGTTGTTGTGTTGATGAGGATGTACCTCAAATCAATGCTGAGGCGAACATGTCGTTCACCATCTTCGATTGTTGATGCCGCTGCTCGTAATTGTATCTCTGTGAGTTCTGCTGTGGCTTGTTCCGCTGCTTGTAGCAAATCTGTGTAGTCGTTGTCTTGCAATCCCATGTATGCTGTAAACTTGTATTTCCATTCCTCGAACGTGCCATAGTCTGCATTGAAGAAAGGTGGTTTGAGTTTGTATCTGTTCATGTTTGCTATGTTTGCTGTTGTCTCATCTTCTGGAACTGGAGGCAGGTGGTCTCCTCCATGTGGAGCTGCTGCTGGTTGTGCTGCCATTGTTGCAGCTGTGCAAGCTACCTGTTGTAGGGTCAAGGCTTGTCCTCCGTTGTCTGTGTTTGTGTGTCTGTTCCTGTTGTTGTATTGGAGCTCACCTGGATTGTTGTTACCAGGATCCTTGCTCCGCTACCATGAAAATTTCAGCCGCTGTTTGTTTGTCGTTTGTTTGCGCACATCTCTGTATTGTTTTCCTCTTGGCAACTGTCCTTAGGCTCAACTAGGCTAGGCTAGGCTCAAGGCCTTTGATCCAAGGTGCATGGTATGGCACCAAGCAATTGTACATGAACACTATGATAGAGCAAGTATGCTATTGTAAAAGAACTTGTATCTTGACATCTCTCTCTCTCTCTCTTCAGCTCCATCGAATAAATATCACATGGTCACATGATGTTACAAAATGTTACAAATATCACCAAAATGAACTTGTGCAAAATTCAATATGTCGCGCCGCTGTAGTGTACACTCAGCTGCGGAACTGACGGCATAGTAGGGGAAAAATTGTTTCCCCAACGGGAACGCGACGCCCGGCGGGGGGTCCCGGCATAGTCCTTGTAAATACCAGCTTCCCGCACCGAAACGCGGTAATTTGGCAATGTGCTGGATGTGTTCTGAAACTCCTTCTTTAGCACAAGTGTTATATATTCACAACAAGTTTCTTGCATGGAAACGCAATGAGTTAGCAATGATGTTATATAATCATGTTAATCTCCTTGTGGTCCCTTGACATCTCTTTGAACCAGGCTCTGGACACTTTACTTATATCGGCACGAGGGTGAGCGACAGGGTGAACGAGGTCAGAACCCACGCCAGCAAGAAAAGCCGTCATAATGAAAACCTCTAGTTACCTCCTCATGTATATGTGCACATCCCCTCCCTTTAGTTCTGTCCCTTTTTTCTTGTCTCTCTGCTTGTCTGCTGTGCTCGGCGTTTTGTCTGCCGCTGCTGCCTTGTCTCCTGACTTGTTTACCCACCTGTCTCCCCACTTGTTTGCCTGTGCGATCGGCGTTTTGTTTGATCAGCGTTTTGTTTGCCGCTGCTGCCTTGTCTTCTCCCCAACCAAATGCGAAATCGCCACAACTTCAACATGTGATTGTAGCTTTTTTCCAAGCACATCATCTGCCCGTCTTCCGCGTGCCTTGGCATTGCATTCATCAGCAATGCGCCGCATATTGTTGCCTGCCTGTGCATTTGCTAAGTTGCCTTGCAAAAGTTCCCCATTGCTTTGGCCAGGCGTTGCTGCGCATTGGTGAAAACTTCTGCAAGCGCCTTTCCAAGAATCCTCTTGACAAGGCAAAACTCCTCGTCATCTTCAAGGCCTCGTGTGGGGCATGACGCTCGTTGAGTTGGGGCCCGACCCTTTATCATGCTTGATCCCTCAGAAAATGTGCAAAGCTTACTGGAAAACATGAGATCGCCTACTTGAAAAAACGCAGATGAACTTCTGGCTGTCGCCTCGATCACAGAACAAAAGACACACTGACTTTGGTGCTAGGTCAGAGCAAAGGGCAGCAAGACCACACGATGGCCACAATGACCCAACTTCTCCCTACCACAGATCCTAACAGTTTAACAAATCCGCGCCTTCAAGCTCACCGGGCGGTGCAATGAGGTTGGACAAGCCTCGTTTGGCGGCCTGAAGTGGAGGATGCGGTCTGCAAAGCACATGGTGTCGCCGCCGCCATCTTTAGAGTTGGCGGTCCGGTGTCAATGTGAGGTCAATGAATGGATAGAACACTTTTTGATAGACCAAACCAATTGAGGTGTTTGAGGAAGTACTGCGCCAATAGGTCACTCACTTCCTCGCCTCGTCGTGCCTGCGATTCTTTCGTGGCCTGCAAGCAGTCATGCTCAAGGCTGCTGTTCTTGTCCTGCTAACACTGGTTATCACTGCGTTGTTATCACTCTGCCTCGGCCCCTCCTCTTCAACTCCAAGGCCCCATTCCTAGCAAGCGAAGCTCTTGTTTCACAGATAGAGGGAGTCGGAAAGCCCAACCAGCTGACCAACAATAGAAGTTATTAAGTTATTAATATGAATTCTTGGGTGGGTGGGAGTGTTGCCCAATGCCAAGAGCCCATGCATTGCCTGTAGAGTCGACAGGAGAGACAAGGCAGACCTCGCATGGACAGCAAACAGCAAGCGCCAAATGGCAAAACTTATCAACAGAGGCGCAAGAGGGCCTGGCTAGGACTTTCTTGGGCACTGGCTCTTCCGAATCGAGCAGGGGCTCACAGAATGCTAATGCATCTTCGAAGGCCTGCCCACAAGCAAAGCACTTGGCAACAACTCCATTTAACACAAATCCTTGCAAAGCATTCATTTGGAATCCACATTTGGCACGGCCACGCTGCCCGATCTCTTTCTTATATGGTAGATGGCAGCAGGTTCATGAAACTTCGTCATCACTCCGAATCCAAAAGATTCACTGGAACTGCCAGCTCTCAAACCGATTCCAGGTAACAACCAGCTTTGAGTTGTCGTGGCTGGCCATTTAAGCAGAAAGCAGGGTACGACTTCTCATATCGTGCAGCTGTGAATATGGAGAACCGCCCCTCTGTGCGAAAATCGCCTTGCCTAACGAAAGCTACGGCACCTTCGCACTCTCGGACTGGATTGATGTAGCGCCAAACTTCTTCACCCTGAGGGTTGACCTCGAAAATGATTCCTTGTGGCCCCATCGTAACCAATGTATTGCCATTGGGCAGCCGCTGAGCCCCAGAGATATAAGTGCAGTAGAAGCTGCCTAGCTTGCCCTGTTGTGGGCCGAAGCTCCAAATAGCCTTTGGCTTTGCCACAGTGTCATAGAAGCTGCCCGCTGGATTGAAAGGAAGTTCATACTCGTCTACTGTTGAGAACAAACGATCAGGTGCACGACCATTGTTGAACACCAGGACATTGCACGTCCCGGCTGCAACTTTTACAAAGGTAGCACTGTGTGGGCAAAATAGAACTTGGTCCTGAAGCGTGCCTCTCCGGCACGCAACTGGGTTGCCAAACCGATATAAGATATCTCCGCCCTTTCCACGTGTTCCACCCGTGTGTCCTCGAGCTTCATGGACTGTGGTGCCATGATCAATGACAATAAACTCAGAGGAAACATTGATGCAAAGCACAATGAGATCCCGAGCTTCGTCATAAGAGACGCAATTGATGTGAAGCCAATCTTTCTCCCCTGTTTGGCCGCCTGCCCTGTCCCACAATGCTAGGCCCGATGGATCCTGCGTCCCTTTGCCTTGACCTTTCGTGGCCAATTTCCGGTTTCGTTGGGCGTGTATCCCGCCAACAGGACAGAAGTTGATATCAAAAAGCTCAGGATGCGCTCCAATTCCACCAAAGTTTGGCAATTTCTCACTCAAATCTTGAACTATGTGATCCCACATGGACCACTGCCAAACAACCGTAGCAGTAGTGCCTTCTGGCCGAAGCTCAAGGACAAGATTATTCCAAACTTCGTTGTCAGGCATCAGATCTGATCCGCGGCCAGCGTCTGTGGCTTGCTGCTTAGTCTTGCGCTCCCAAACCAGAACGAGTACATTTCCATTGGGCAGCGGTTCAAGATCATGGTGCGACAAGGTCTGCTGGTATGGGTAGAAGTCATACACCCAAACCAGCTCATTGTGCCAGCTCACTTCTTCAACTACACCACCTGCACCACCCACTTGAAATCCAGGAGAATCTAAGGCAACACAACCATCCCGGAGTAGATTTCCAGATGGACGCAAATAGGAGGTGAAAACACTTCTGCTGCTACGCCATTTGTGCACGACCTGCCCGTCTTCATCAATCAAATAAGTTTCTCGACTAGCATTGAACAGGGTGTATCCAGATGACAATTTTGCGTCATTGCGAGTGACAACGCCCACAGTCCTTTCCAACACAGGAAGCTGAGACATCGCACCCTCTCTCTATCTGAGCCAACTGCTAGGTTGCAAGCTTCTGGCGACATTCCCACACCAAATCTGAAACGCAAACTTCCATTGGCGCCTCGACAATATCAGTTGCCGAAACGATCCGCGGGAAAGCATCCACCTAAGGAGGTATTGCATGAGCAAACCATCCTCGATGCACAACATGCAACCCCTTGCATGAAATGCCTGGAATTCTGCGGCTGACACTTAGCCTTTGACCACAAGGTGCCCAGGAAAATGCTCCAAGCCTGCATGATGTGAGGTCCAACGACTTTTCACGGCAGTCGTTTCCAAACACAGCGCATCCACACACTATGCAATCGGAAAGTCCGAATAGACTGCAAAGTGACCAAGAAAAGAAGGAAGCATCTTCTTCTGCAAGACTCTTGTCCCTGATTATCAAAGTTATCTGCTGCCCCTGCTTCACCGCAAAGCTCAAGCCTTCTTTCTTGCCCATGGGCCTGGGCTTGGCAAACAGTCATGTGGTTCCGCATATTTGCATGCATTTTTCATAGCTTCAGGATGTGTTTCTGACAAGGTTGGCTCCGGGGTGGTCGTACCTGGGATGTCCAGATTATTCCGAATGACTCCCTACCTACCCCCGAAGCCACTGAGAGCATCTCATCCCCGGTTGACTTCCAAATGAGAATGTTTGTTGCGATGAACTGTGATCAAAATGATGCGTCCACCTGGCCAGGCGCCAGTGCTGGCTGCCTCAAAGACTAAGGAACTTATGGACGCGCCAAGGGAATGCTCAAAGCACCCACTCGCAGCATGCAAGAAGTACATATCCAGCACTACAGGCAGTCATGCAAGCCTTCAGCCAGCTTCTCAATTCTCAATTGCTGAACACTTGAATTTAGATGCAGTGTTGTTCTGTTGCTCTGTTGCTCTCTGAGTGTCTGGCTGCTGACTCGCCCAGTGACGCAGTAGCAGTCAAACTCGGTGGAAGAGACGCATGTCACAAAACCATATCGCCAAATATTCTGCAAATAGACACCAATAGTACAAAGAAGCTATTAGGGGCTCCTGGCATCGCTACTAGGAGCAAGGACGCTACTAAGGGCTATTAGAATTGAATTAGAATATAATATCCACATTATGCTCCACCTCCAGAATGCCCTGCTTGGCCCTAATCATAGGGCATTAGGGCTTGGGCTCCATGTCTCCAGCATCAGTGGTCTGCACCGAGTTCTGCAGCTCCGAAGCCTTGGTCAAAGGAACTAGCGGGCTTGCGCAGGCTGGCCATGTGCAGGCTGGTGCATCCTTTTCTTTCGTGTGAGGAATCTGAGCTAATTGATTTCTGTCGCACAAGCTTCAAATCTTATCACGTCTCAAGTGCTTCTGATGTGTATGTGACGCAATCTTTTGTCCAAATGGATTAAAAAGGCCTTTGTTGGCTCTTGCGCATTCTCTTCCGGGACCTGCAGGTTAGCGGGTGGTAGTTTGAAAGGTTCGTTCAAGCAGAATCAGTCCTGGCCTTGGGGCTGGTCATCTGCAGCCCGCTTGGTATATCTGGCAGTGCAAATCACATGACTCCATTGTGGCCGTTCTCTGAGCGGACCAAACAGAAACCTTGAACAGTTCCTTAGACTCCTGGCTATGAACGTGCCCCTGTCCCAAAAAGCTGTCCAAGTTGGGCCCAAATTGATGCAGCACACGAATCCCAAATACAAAAGGTCTAGATCCCTGAAAACAAGTTCCTGTGTATAGCACGTTTATTAATTACTTACTGTATACTATACTGCACTCTGATTACAAAGGCGGAAAAAACCCGCAAAGGACAGTCCAATCCAAAAGTGGAAACTGATTGTGTCTCTCTGAGAAGGTCCATTCGCACATACGGCAGCGCATCTCTCGTCTCTTTGGCATTCCATGTTGGGCGATTCACAAATCCTTTTTTAGATCACCAGCCGAAACGAGGCCTTTCAAACGCCAGAGCCAACCGGGGCATGAATGAGGAAACACAAAGGTTCACTCCAACTGTTCAGCTCACGCAGCTCAACATGTTCAATCCCATCGCCATTTTGAGGCATGTGGCAAGTGCTGGCATCATCTGACACCATATGCAGCTCAAGCCATGAAATTGGAAGCCGTGCTTTGAAGCATAAACACTGGAACAGTGTCCCCCTGACGATATCTGGAGCAACGCAGCTAGGCAACGCCGCGGGTAGTACGCAGCAGCACTTGGACAATCCGATCTACGCCCGCACTACCTACGTTCATGAGTGACACCCTGCCTATCAGTATAACAGTCAACCCATTGCAAGATGTGAAAAGCATGCTTCTGAGAGCGTCGTCACCGGCGTGGCGAATGCTGCTGTTCCTCAAGGCCGCCAAGGGCATTATAGTTTCTTTGTTGTGCGAAGCAGTGCAACGGATCCAACAGCAATGGAGGACTCCTCATGGGTCCGTGAAGGGAAAGCAGTGCTTCAAGAGGCTTTAATTATATATATATATACATACCTGAGAAGGGGGGGAACGAAAGCCAGCTGCCACTTCATTACGCGGGTCCCTGTACGTGGGCCCCTGTCTCCACTCGAGTCCTCTATGCCCATCGCCCAAAAAGTCCCCAAAGCCCTTCATGATGCTAATGATGCACTACTCGGCGTCCATTACATCACTTGCATTATCACCAGACCCCATTTTCACTGCTTTTCAGACTCTCGCTTTGGAGCCCTCTCCCCCACCAAGCTCTGGGTTCACCCTATCAAAAGGTTCCGCTCAGCGACCACCCCACCCCCACACCCCCTTAACTCACTTCGTTCGCCCTAAAAGCTCAAGCCTTGCCTATCGGCTGGCTTACGTAACAAAATATTTTGAACTGGCGGGAACCTTGAGCTCCTGCTCCAAGCCGCTGCCGCACCCCTTTTGCCTACGGCTAAGGTCTGGCTTCAGGGGTCCATAGCGTCCCTACGCTAACCTGAAACGTTCCAGCCTATACGTCCATCAAAAGACATGACATGTTGAGCCAACTCGTGAGATTCACACGGATCAAAATTCTCTGTTGGCTCAACTGACTTGTACATCAGCTACGGTGATCGTGGGAACCTGGATTTCGGCTTTGCTGCGGCGCGAAGTCCTTGGGACATGCCTGAAGCAACCGACCAATCCTGATCATCTGTGGCCAGATGGTACTGTTCAGTCAGGCCACTAAGTTCCATCACCATCTCTGGCTCTGCTCCAAATTCACGGAGCATCATTTGGAGGTACTTCTGCCTCCAGCCAGGATAGCTGTGAAGCTTCCGAGCGCCCTCGTGACATAATTCAGCCACTGCGGCACAAAACTCGACATCCGTAGGGGTCATTGCCCTCACCACTGACGGCTCATATCCTTTCTCAGAGGTCGGCTGGCCCTCCTCGATCTTCTCTTCAAAGTAACAGGATCGAACCCCTTCGTGCAACACAGTCGGAAGGCCTCACCCCACTCGCCGGTTCCCTCCAGCATCGGCGTCACCTTGTTCTCCTTGAGCAGGTCCTTGTAATGCATGAGCACGGCTTCCACGGTGGTCTCGGCACGGTCGAGATAGGCCGCTCCAGTCTGTAGCTGGAGCATTTGAGTGTTCACCGTGTATGTCATCGTGAGCACTCCTTTCTCACCCCTGAACTGCTTTGAGTCCACCATTTCCAAAAGGCAATTTGGCCTTGCAGGAAGCTCGGGTCTGCACGATGGTCTTCTTGAATTCTTCTTCGCTCTTGGCATACCGGTAGGTCATGACCTCCATGAGTGCTCTCATCTCGATCTCCTTCAGACCTTTCGTGTCGATCTTCACCGTCTCAGCTGCTTCTACTGCTCTCGCGAACAAAACTTCTGAGCCTCGTGTCTCTTGCGGTCGTCGCTTTCGAATAGCTCTTTGCTCTGCAGCATTTTGAAGCATCACACTCTCATTGTTCAGATGGTACAGGTTACTAGTAATGGCCCCTCTCAACACATCCATGGCATCTGCGTTTTCTTTGGTTAGAGCATCTGCTAACTGTAGCCATGTCGGTGCCCATCTGATAGTTCCCCAAACTCGTTTCATCGTTTCCTTCACTATGATCAAATCGATGGCAACCCTCTTGTCGGATACACTACTTGGGGAGGAGTATGTTTGAAGATGGTCATAGATGCTCTTGCAATCCGTAATAGCCTGAATGCAAAACTCCTTGATGAACCTTGACCGTTGTTCCAATGAAAAGTCAGGAAAACGAAGCTCAGCTAAATGACAGGCAATCCACTCTGTGTGTCCCAGTCCGTCCATAAGAGCTTGTGTTTCTCCTGCAAATGTTGAACCAACCACCCTTTTCAGCCTGTACGATTTCCATGTTGCTGGTGCCCAAACTGCTGGTGCTCCGGTCCGAAGTTCATCGGTTGTCACTCCAACAATGTACCCTGCTTGTGTACCTTGCTTTCTGGCATTTGCGAATGCTGCATCAGTGTGTAAACACAGTCTGATCTTGTCGAAAGGTATTGGCAGGATTTTCCATGTTAGATGCTTGTATTGCTTTGCCCTTCTGGTGACATTGGCAACTGTTCTGGCTTCACCTAATGTTGGTGTCGGCATTAGTTGTTGTCCCTGGCTGACTTGCTCTGCCAGGTCCGGTCGGGTCTCCTTTGCCAGCCAGAGTCCTGCCCCGAGGACTGACCTCAAGGATGTTCCTTCCTCGGCATTCACCGTTGTTGTAGCGTCCTCTTTGGTTCTCAACTTGGGTTTCACCATGTTTTCGGCAAACTGTTCCTGGCTCACTATGATTGCACCTGTCTCATCTTGTGTCAAACTCGACCCACAGAAAGTCCCTTTTCCAGTCATCCACTTGCGAAATGGGAATTGCTGTTTGAGTTGAACAATGGACTTCTCAAAAACGTCCCCTCTTCCTCAAAGAACCACATCATCGACATGTGCCCCCATGATACCTCCTAGCGCTCTCCCCTGACTTATGCTTTCGGTCCCATAGCATGTACAGACATGGATCTAGTCTTGAAGGCTGCCATCCCAACTTGCGAACAGTCTCATCGAATGTGTCGAACCATTTTTGTGGACTGTCGTTGAGGCCATAAAGTGGACGAATCACTTCGAACAATTGTTCTGGGTCGTGATCGGGGAGCTGAAAGTTCTTTGGCCCTGACATCCTCTTGCTGTCCACCTGGCCTTCACAATTTGTTCACCTGTATCTTCCGTTTTCGGTGTCAACACCAACCGACTTGGGATCACGCGTTCTGGATGTTGTTGTCTGATTCTCCTTGATTCATCAACTGAGCAAGGTCGTAGTGCATGTTTGTCCTCAACACAATTCTTCACCTCCTTCCTCACTCCTTGCACCAACAACTCCTTTCCTTTGGGTGATCTCCAATAGTCCTCCTTTGGGTTGATCTCCTTCCTGCCTCCTGCC